ATGATAAAATGATTTTCAATTAAACCGATGTATGTATGTGATGAGTTTTATGAAAAACAAAAATAATATTATAGAATATAGATACGTAACATATTATAAATTCAAAATATAAAAACTAACTTATAATGCTTTTTAATAACAAATCTTTTTTACAATAAACATATTTAACAGTTTTTTTTTTTCTTTATTCTATTTATTATTGATAAATTTCTTTGTTAATCAATATTAATATAAGTATTATTCAACATAGTTTATCTTTCAACGATAAATATAATTATTTTCAATAAATTAAATGACAATAAATAATAGAATTTGACATATTAATAGAAATTATTCTTTATATACATGTATAACGATTGAATTTTTAATCTATTGTCACATTATTTCGGTTTTTTTTCATCAGTAAAAAAGTAAAAAATAAAAATAATTATTTGAATAAAATGATCATAACTGATAATGATAATATACTATAGAATAGAATATGTCACAATAATATGCACGACGGAAATGAGGATTTTTCAAAAACATTATTCATTAAATAGAAAATCATACATTTTATTTAAGATCAAAAGAAATACTTCAATTATGCGCTCTAAATCTCTATAATGAATATTATTGTTTTTTCAAGTTGACAACTCATTTTTATAGAAATATTTCTATTTTGTTTTGTTTTGTTTTGTTTTTTCTTATATTCTATGGATTTATTACATTATTAAATAAAAGGTTACCTTTTGTTTTTTTATTTTACTATTAAGATTTATTATTTTAAATAATAATATTTAATTAATTAATATAAAATTAATAAAATAGTTCATTGAATATATATATATTTACATATATTAATCAAACAAACTTTGTTAAGATTCAAATTTAACAATTGTTAATTATTAGTTAGACATTATTTTATCTTATATTGTTTTTTTTTTTTTTTTATAGAAATTTATTATATTAACATAATCAGACCTTAATTACGTTACATCGAAATGATACTGGTTTTCTTTTTAAAGTTTTATCTTGTTTGTTTGTTTGTTATATTACATTTCGAATAATGTTTGAGTCAATAATACGATATATAGTTATATATAGTTATAATAAGATCGATCGTGTAAAATCATATAATAAGATAATATTGATGTGTGTAATGCACGCACATTGAAATCTGTTGATGATTTTTTCATGTGATTGTTGTGTGTGTGTCGTCAGAGATAAACAAGAGAAAAGAAAATCAATCAATCCTATTCGATTTAAACTACCGAAGAAAAAACACGAAAGAGAAGAAAAATAAGAATTGATCATTTTTTTTATTAGTAGATAGATTTTTTTTACTCTTTTATATATTCAATTTTGTTGATATTCTACTGTTTTAATATAATAATTGAGTGTAGATTTATATTTTAAGACTTGTCAATACTATTTTAATATTGAAGACAATATTCATATATTCTATTGAAAAATATATATTAAATATATTTAAAATGAATCAATTATTATATTGATATAAAAATATTTAAATGAAATATAACAATTGATTATTTATAAAGATAAATAATAAAATATCTTCATTTTAATGTTGATGATAGTTGCCATATATATAGTTAAATATTAAAGATAATATTTAAATAAATACAATAAGATTCATGACATACATATAAATGTCAATTTTTCTAAAGATAAATTTCTAAAATATTCTTATAAATATAATTCACTCTATATATATTTACATTCTAAGATAATGATTAGGATTTTAAAATCTTATATATTAAAGAAAGTATATATTTATTAAAACAAAACAGACAAAAAAAGGATAAAAACAAAAAGTAATAAATAAAAAATTATAAATTATGAATAAAAGAAGAAAAAGTTTAAAATACTTTTATCAAAGTAATAAATCGTCAGTTTGCATTTTATTTTTTCTCTTTTTCCGTTATCGGTGTTGGTTTATGTCGAAAGCGACAGTTTTCTTCCGTCTACAAGTTTAGTTCAATGTTCATCGACTAGCTATTTAGTTATTATTTTTATGTTTAGCACCTCATATTAATTTATTCCGAGCGAGAATAAACTATATATATATATATATATATATATAAGCGACGTTCGAGACAAGTTAATAGAATGAGGAAAAAAAAGAAAAAAAATCTGCTGAATATTATATCATATTATTATGTTTTATAGCATCATTTTTCTTTTTCCTTTACTCTTTTTTTTTAGTTTCTTTTTGTTCAAGTAAGTCTCAATAAAAAGAAATTACTAATTCATTTCTAACAATAAAAAAAATATTAAACAAGATGAAATTAAATAACGAAAAGACGTCATCAATTCTCATTAAAGTTTTTTTGTTTTTTTTTATAAATCTTCGTCTTATTTTTCTGTTGAACTTCTTTATAGAACACCCACATAGACGCAAAAAAAACATAAAAAATTATATTAAAAAAAAAAAAGGACAGATGCTCTTGTATGCATCAACTCTCATTATGCTGTTAGCGTTAGCCAAGCATATCTGAATATAAGTTTTTTTCTCTTGATGCACTTTCTTTGATTATCTTAAATAATTCTTTCTTCTTCTTCTTCTTCTTCTTCTTCTTCTTCTTGTTCTGCAAAAGAAAACTACGATGACATATAAGATTGATTAATTAATATATATGAATAGAATAACTATTGGTGAAATTAACATTATTTTCTAATATTAAGACAAAAAATAAATAATTATATTTATTATTAACTGTTCACAATAATATCTATCGAATAGAATATTTTAATTTATTTTTCTCATTTCTTAAATGTATGTATATATATATATATACATATGACAATAATAAAGAATTTTTTCAATAATATTATTCTATTAACATGACTTTTATTAATCAATATCTAATATATATATATATATGTTTCTCTATATTTTTCTATGTATGCTCTTTTGCATCCAATTGTATAGATAGCTGACAGATAAATATAGTCGTCTCAAGGTAAGCTTATTTAGTAAGCTCCATTATGATAATGATTATATATATAAGTGAGAAATGTGTTCGACATGTACTCTTTTATGGAAATATTCAAGATTGATGAAAAAAGGTCGACACCAGAGAGAGAGAGAAGCAAAGAAATAATGTCGTCGCTCCATATGTTATGAATCTACTTTCTACTTGTGAGAACTATAAAGGAGCAGAGAGAGAGAAGAGAAGAAAAGAAAAGAAAAGAAAAGAAAAGAAAAGAAAAGAATGAAATGTAGTTCTGTTTTCCTTTGTTAATAAAGAAAAAAAAAAATCTAAAAAAGGAATAGTTGGAGTTTTAGTTAGTTTGTTTTTTTGAAAATAAAATCTCATAGAAGTCTTATTTAATGTTATGATAATAATGTAAGTAAAGAAAAAATAATGTTTAATTTTGAAAAATTTGAAATTGAATAAACTCTTGTTTAGTTTTTATTTGTTTTGTTATTTAAATATCAAGATAATAAATAATAGTATATTGAGTTGTTTGATTATTTTCTCTTGAGTATCAATATTGAACAAATATAATTGAATAAAAAACAAAAATTTCTTCAATTGATCATCATAATGTAAAATAATCTTATACGTATATCAATAATATCATATTGAAACCTTAATAATCTAGTTTTTGAAATTTTATTTATTATATTATATGTTCAATTATATTCAATTGTAAACAATATATTTCTATATTAACTATAAATAAACTTAATTACTTTTTTTTTTTTTTTTTTTTTTATTCGAATTATTTCTATTGAGTAAAGATAAACAGACAATTCTAATGATTATACACGTATATTAATCTATTTAATAAATAGTTCATTTCTATTTTATTTATTTTTTGTTTTTTAAACTGAATATGACATATATTATCATTATGAATAGTATACGAACATTTTTTTTACCTAAAAAAAAAAAAACAAAAACAAAAGTTTATTTAATGAAATTAAATATTTAATAATTATTGAATATATAAAAGAAAAAAACTGAAAAATAATAATATATATTTATTTAAATAAAATGAACACATGTGAAAGGGTTAAACTGTACATAATACCAATTATAGATAATAAAATTAGTTTTATATTTCTATAAGTTATTTAAAAAACGAATATAAACACAAAAAAACCTCTATATATGTAACTATAGTACATATTATTTAGTCAGTTTTTTCTTTTATTTATAAATAACTAAATATGATGATGATAATAATAATAATGATTAAATCTTTAGGTTTAGACATGAGACACATCCTATGATAAAATATTAGTTTTTATTTTATTTTATTTTATTTTATTTTATTTATAATATATTCATTATAATTATTATTATCATCTTTACAACATGAACATTATCTTATATAAGATAAATCTTAATTATTATTCTAAATCTAAAATAATAATACCGGTGACGATTATATAATAAATATAACAAAACTAATCTATATATATATATATATATATATATATATCATTTAATTAGTCATTATTATATATAAACATATTTTATTTATCAATAGTTGTATACTGATGTTTTTTAATCTAAAAAATATTATTTCTTCACCAGTTTTTTATGCTTCGATATTAACAAATAGATTATATATAATTGTTATTAGAAATAGATTAATATTTTTATGGATGAATACGTTTTTAAATGTTTAATAGAATAATTTTGATAATAAAAAAAATTGTTAATCAATTAAATATGTAATAGAAAAATAATAATATTATCCATTAAGTAGATACTGTTTGATGATCGTTTTTATTTGTTTTTGTTTTTGTTTTTAAATATTTTTTAATTAAATTTCGATGAAAAAAGTGAATATTTATTTATTTGATTAAATATTGTTTTAAGTTAATTATTGATTGTGAATATGTAATTTATCATCTATGAATAATTATTTTGTTTTATTTCGTTAATGTTTTATTCTAAAAATTCTTGTAAATTATTCTATAGATAATTATTTAAAATTAAAAAATAATTTAAATAATAATAATAATGAATATATCTCAAATGTTATCTGTACCATTAACTCGTTTACATTCCCAAAAACTTAAACGACAAAAAACTGTTGAAGATGATATTGATTGTCAAATAAACCAAACATCGAAATCAATTCCATCCGATTATGAATCAAATTCGTCACGTTCACTTTCACCTTATTGGCGTTTTCTTATTGATCCAGATTCATCATCAAGTTATTTAGATGTACCTGATACATCAAATAATAGTCGTCGATCATCAAATAATAGTGTTGTACGTTTTAGTCAATATGATACATCTGATCTATGTTCAATTCTTGATATGACTGTAATTTTATTTAAAAAAAAGAAAAAAAAACATTATCTTTTTTATTTATTTTATTTAGAATGAATCAGAAAATCTTGAAAAATCCATAATTAATAATGATAAATATACTGTACGTCGTTTAATTGATATACATAAAAATAAATTTAATTTAATAAAAGATCATTTAAATCTATGTCAAATTCCATTATATAATAGAATAAATCGATTTCCATCAATTCAACCAGCTATTTATAGAAATTCCTCATATGGTACACAATCCATAACAAGTAATACTGATTTATTCGAAGTATATAGTAAACAAGTATTAGTTAGTAATGATACAGATGATCCACCATCTATATCATCAATTGAACATCGTCAATATTCAATTATTGATCAACAAGATAATTTATTAACATCTACAACAAATCAATTTAATAATAATAATGAAACAAATATAAATAATAATTTAAAATCAAATTCATCTTCTCTTTATATAAATTCATCTATAAATGAACCTATTGAAAATGATTATCAATCAACATTTATAAAAGCAACAACATATAATAAACAAAATCAATATATAAATAATGATTCACCTAATAATGCACCTCCCATTTTTCGAAATGTTTTACATGTTGCTATTATATATGGTAAGATATTATTTATTTCTAACATTAACATTATATTAAACGAAAACAACTATTCAATTTTAGTTTAATAGAAATTTATTTATTTTTTCTTCAACTTTTAAAAGATAATAATAAACAAAAACTAAAGATATTATTAAATATTGTTTATCCCCAACAAACTCTTCCTGAGTATAATATATTTATGATAGATATTATTTTTTTTGTTTTTTGTTATATATTTATCGTAAAATAGTAGAGTAAACATATTTATCCGAATAAATCAAACGAATAAAATAATAATACTATAATTATTAAAATGAGTTAAATAATTTATAAGATATTTTTTATCTTGATTTAAATAAATAAAAAAAAATATT